TGTGTATGATATATATCTCCTGTAATGAAACTGCATCAATTTTTTTTTTTTATCATAAAATTGGCAAAACAAATCACTGGCACTCAGTTACCATCACTAGAAGAAATTTACAGAACCTGCTCTTTTTGTCGGGCCACAAACATGATCAGAGACTCATCTCACCCAGGTCACCACCTTTTCACCCTGCTGCCCTCTGGAAGGTGCTGCAGGTCCATAAAATCTCACAACTACAGAAGTTTTATCCAAGAGCCCTTAGAGAACTAAACTGCTGACAATCAGGCTATAATAAGTACATAACCAAGTGGCATAATATTGACAAATAGTGCCAGAGTTTCAGGAACTGTGTTTCTAAAATAGTGACAAACTGTAAACATCACGGGTGAAGTAGTTTTTCACTATTGTAAAAACACAGTTGCTGAAACTAGGGCCCTGTGTGTCAAAGCTCCACACACACAAACCAAAACCATATACACAAAATACAAAACATCTTACATCTCTTGCAAAAGCAAACACTACATCAAAAACTATATGAACTCTTCTAAAAATGACACTTTAGCTTCCAGACTTTACACACAAACACCAAATATATAGATCTTTCCACCGCCAACTGCACGACTGTGCTACATCTGTCACATTTCTCCTTTCCTCATATGTGTATATATATAGTATAAAAACACTATTACTGTATGTTTTTGACATTTACATTTGTAACATGCTGTAAATATGAACACAAACGTTCTCAACAGTGAACTGAAGATGACATGAACATACTGCACTGTAAAATACAGTAGGCCTGTACAGTATTGCAGTTACTGTCTATCCTGTCTCTGATCTCATCCGTAACAATTGCCCTCTCGCCACTCCCTGTCCTCTGTCCTCATGCTCCTCTTTCTCCTTCACCTCTTCCTCGTCTGCCTCTTTCTCTTCCTCCTATTTCTCCTCTTGCTCTTCCTCCTCTTACTTGAACACCTCTTCTTCTAAAAATTGTCCACCGTTGTTGTTCACACCAAAGAGCAAACCTGACTCGTTTTTATGGTGATCAAGCTGTGATTTCTGTGTGATCTGATTGGTTACATGTGTCTTCACATGTGCATTCTGAGTTCAGGTGATTGCTAACTGAGTGTGGTGTTTCAGTGGCAGTGTTTAGCAGCTAACACACAAAGGCTTTCAGTTTTAAATGATGTGTCTAATGTAGAGAAGTGTGTTTGGTGTTTTGTAAAACAGTGTGTGTAGTGTTTTGAAAAGGGTGTGAGGTGAGAATGTGCGTATAGTTGTGCAAGTCTGGGCTGACATTTTGCCCTTCGTGTACTGAGTTTCAAAATCTGTGTATTATTTTAGATTTTTGTGTGTAAGCAATCGTAAAAAACTGTAAAATGCAGCAAGTACTCAACCAGTCAGAAATGTTCAGGACTGCAGACCACACCCCCCAAAGTTCCTAAACCTTTGGAAAGTAGTACCCCCCGACCAGGTACCTTTATGGGGGTCGATCAATTCCCCCCGGAAGCAAATTTAGACCCTGGTGCCTGTGGTGGAAATGCGCATAGTTCCTCAAAAGGTTCCCGGGTTCCTGGGGAAAGTTCCTGCAGTGGCAACACGGCTTTAGTGATCCTCAGCCTCATCATCTCATAAGATTTCACTGCACAAAGGCCCAGCTGTGTCAACAACTGGCAGACATTGTCTGTGTCAAAGGGGTTTTTCCAGTCCAAGCTGGACCAAGACTAGCTCATAATCAGATGAGTCATCCTTTAGGTATGACTGATCCCAAATCAACTACATTTGTGCAAAAGCTCTGACTTCACAGACCCAGCAATGGTCCTGATAGGGAAATTATGATCTGCTGTTGTCTTCAAACACCATTTGTCTGAATGTTAATACATGAGTCCAACAACAGCAAATCACAACAACCTGTCCTCTGTCTCTTTACTCTAGAAAATGTTTCCAGAATGATGACCTCACATTACAGAGCAAGCTGGGGAAGAAGGCTCTATCTTACACCCGGTGCAAAGCAGCACCAAGCGCAACATAACTGTCTGCTACTTTCAGACTGTTTAAATAGCAAATACACTTGTGCTCATCAGATTGGTTGGTTTTAAAATGAGGTGTGTTCAGGAGCATTGTTAGCTTATTGTTATATGACGGACAACTGTGTTGTTGTGGTCACACAGGATGGTGATAACCACAGCAATGACAGTTGTAAAAATTCTCAGTGATGTTTTTACCATTGGAGTGTTTTACCACAGGGTCATTTACAGTCCCTGTGACATATTAACAACCAAGTTAATAAGTCTACTCCTCCATATATAGCTCACATTACACTGTGTCATTGTCACCATGACAACGACAGAAATAACAGAGAAGGAGCTGATTTTACTGTGTCAGAGTTCACTCAACGATTCACCTCTTCACCAGCAGACACTTTCACAGGCTACGGTCAGGAACACACTGGATGCGTGGCGTGTGCATGGCGTGTACGTGGTGTGTGCGTGGCGTGTGCATGGCGGCTGTGGAACATCTTGGTTTTCATTTTGGCACCCATGTCAACAGGTTACAGCAACACACTGGTTGCACCTCACAGCTGCATCATAGCATCACATCATAGCAACATCATCACATAAAATATGACATATGACACAGATATGAAAAAATATATTGTAAAATATAAATGATCAAATATAATAAATGTATTTTTTAGGCATTTTAGCAGCTGCATATGGAGACAGTGACACTTTACTGATGTTTACTGTCAAAAATAAATCAGAAATGAATTTATAATACACACACTAGTGTTTTTTACTCTTGGGTGTACTTACTGTAAATCAGTAGTATGTACATGTGGATCTGGGATACAGCTACAGTCGTACGGTCATGACAGTATGTGACTGATACGTCCCAGGTTTTAACTAAAGGATGTAAATTTCACCTGGATAAGGTTTGGTAGCTTTGACCTGTTTCAATGCCTCAGTCACCACAGTGAGTGACTGACATTCACAACACACACAGAGACAGTGTTTCCGTTGTTCCACAACATATGTGATTCTAACAAAAGTGACAGACTTCAAACAATGACAGTCTCATAGTTCTGGGTAAAATCATCAGTTACTGTGTGGGGCTCCAGACTGGTGCTGACAGAGACACTGCTTCACTGATGATGACTGTTCGACAGATAGAGGTATAATAATAATATCATCTCGTCTTCATTAAAGCACATTTCCTGTCATGTGGCAAATAAAGCCTTCACCACCACTATCGCTGCTACAGCTGCTTCTTCACTGACACACAGGTTCAGACTGTAGATAAAATCTGGCACCATGACATGAGATACTTTTAATGTACACCAGCTGATATTAGCTTATGACAGCTATCATGATGTAAGTCTATATGTCAGCCAATAAGTAATAACAAAAGTCAGAAGAGAAATGCCAAAGATGTTTCAGCTCATTTAGAAACTGTGTCTCAGTCTCAACCTTCAACCAGCTTACAAGCAGCCTTTAAATGTAACACTTTTTGTACTACACAGTTGTATGTAATTATTGATACAGTTTTCTCCTGTGGGGTTAAGTTTTTTATTACACTGATATAACATTAATAAGTATATAAATCCCAGCATTGAGTTGTACCATCAGGGCTGTGAGTGAACTCCTTCCAAAGTTCATAGTAATCAGTAGCTAGTTTCAAACTAGTGATTTAAATCAACATTAAGACTTCAGGAATGTCACAGCTCTGGTCATGTTGCTAGGAAACACCTCTGGCACTGTCAAATCAAAAGCAATCAGCTGTGTAAACAAGAAGTCACCAGAGAGGGAACTAGAGCCCATGTTGTGATGGGATCACAGCAGCTGAGATCATCAGTATTACTGCATCATTACATGAGTACTCATGAGTCAGACCACACCCATCTTTGAACTCTGCCTTCATTTTGATTTCAAATACTCACTTGTGACCTGTGATCATTTTACTGTGTCTTGCAGGTTGTGAAGCCATTAAATGGTAAAAAAGGTAAATGGACTGCACTTAGAGCTTTTCTAGTTTTACAGACCACTCAGAGTTCTTTACAGCAGTGGCTCTCAAACTGTTTCTCATCAAGGACCTAAACAGACACAAACCAGACCACAGACCACAGACCACATCTGATAGAGTTTTGCTTTTACATGTTTTATTACAGGTCAGTGTCCAAACCAATGAGCTACACAGTTACACATTCTGTTATTGTGTTACTTATGGATGGAATTGTAGTGAAAAAAATTATTCCCCTTTCTGCTGGGGACCACCAGGATCCTTCTCAAGGACCCCTGGGGTCCCCCGGTCTCACTTTGAGAACCAAAGCTTTACTGTATTTAACACATTCACTCACAGATTCATACATCACACCCACACACACTCATACAGTGATGGAACAGCCATCGGAGGCAATTTGGGGTACAGTATCTTGCCCAAAGACAAGTAAACATGCAGACACGTGCAGTGACAAAATCTTACCACACACACACACACACACACACACACAAACACACACACAGAGACACCTGTCTAAGTACTCAAATCCACCTGTGTGGTAGTTCCTGGTACAGGAACTACATTAGACCATTAAGACAGACTCACAGGGTGAAAACACCACCAGCATCACACTGTCACAGCTGGTGAACATCAGTGACTCAGTCAATCTCCTGACAGAGTAATGTTAGTGGAACCACGCTCATACTCTACTCCATCATGTTTCCTCTTCAATCTTCGGTCTCTGACTCAGAGGCAGCTACACCTTTCCCACCTGTCACTGAGCAGGGGTGTGTGTGTGTGTGTGTGTGTGTGTGTGTGTGTGTGTGTGATCCCACAGCTGTTCAACTCTTGATGTTTGATTTAAAGTTTCATTTCACCTGTTTTTCAAACCTGCTTTACAGGTGCATCTCTATGGACTGGCCTTGTATTTACTACCTGACAAGCTGTGTTCTCATTGATTGTCGCTGCAGGCTGGTGACAGACAGACACACTGATAGACTGATTACCTGTCATTAATGAGTAGTAATTAGGGTAAGACAGACTCGGGAAGTCCGGCGTCATGTAGTCCACCTTCACCCCATTGCCCACGAGCTCGCGGAATCCGGGGAGCGCGTGCAGGTCATCCATGTAGTCGTAGCGGAATCCATCAATGAGGAAAACGAGCAGCGGGTTCACCGCGAGACACCGCTGCCCCGCGCCCAGCAGCGCGAGCAGCGCCGCGAGGAGACGCAGGGAGCGCGTGGGTGTCTGTCTCGGGGACATGGTCGTGTTGCCTCGTGCTGAGCCCTGCTCGTTCTGTGTGAGAAATGTTCCGGAGGGTGGGGTTAAAGTCTGTCTGGGGGCATGAGTGACGCGCACACATGACACCCCCGACAGAGCAGGAGGGGCCCCCACCTCACCTGATAAAAAAAGGCTCCAAAAGAAGACAGTGCAATCACCCCAGCTGAAGAGAATGGCCTCTGTCACATACATAAAATAATAATAGTAAACTTCATTCACACAATAAACTTTATTTACAAAGAAGAAAAACACACAAGGAATTATTTACAATAATGAAAAGCATAGACTAAATAAAAGATCTAGAGACTCTATAGTGCATCTCTATAATTTACCTTAACACTCATGCACTCTCAACCTTGCACAATGGTCTATCTATCCTCTCTATCTATCTATCTATCTAAAAAAAATTAGCTGCTTATTTTACAAGCTTTTATCTCCTCACACCTCGACTACTGCAACAGGCTCTTCACCTGCCTCAACCAAAGATCCATCAGTCAGCTCCAGACTGAACAGAACTCAGCTGCCAGACTTTTACAGGATCCACGAGAAGTGACCACATCACACCAGTCTTCAGCTCCTTGCACTGGCTCCCAGTATGTTTTAGAATAGATTTTAAGATCCCACTGTTGACTCTTAAAGCTTTTCACAGCCTCTCTCCATGCTTTATATCTGACCTCTTATGAACCAGCTTATAGCCTCAAAGGTCTGTTAGTTGTTCCTGAGGCAAAGCTAAAAACCAGAGGTAGCAGAGTTTTCACAGTCAAAGCCTGAAACTCTGGAACGAGCTGCCTGAGGAAATCAGCTCAGCAGAGTCAGTGACCTCTTAAATCTCTTCTTAAAACAAATTTTTCATCGTAGAGCTTTTCCTGATTTTACTTCATTTTATTGACTAATTTTGCTTGTATTGACAACTTTTTATGTTGGGGTTTTATTGGTTTTTACTGATCACTGGTGATTCTTGCTGGTGACACTTTCTTTGGTCTATTTGCACTAAGACACTTTAATTTAAATTGTATTTCTGATTGCTTGTTTAAAGTGTTGCCTTATGTGACCTGCATGTTTTATTTTGCTGCCTTGTGTAAAGCACTTTGGAACGTGGCTTTAGAGAAGTGCCCTATAAATAAAGATAAGACTGGTGCTCAGTCTACCAGCTCTGACCAGCATTTCCACCCCCACCAGAGACGTAACTGTCTCCTTGGTCTGCTCCGCCCAGTTAACCTGCTCCCATTCTATTTCATTACCCTCAATCAGAGAGATTGTTTTTAAGATGAAATCTACCACCTGCACCCTGGCCATCATCCCCACTCACCTCTTTAAGGAAACCTTTGATTTCATCGGTCCCAGCATTCTTTCCATTATAAACAGCTCCCTGGCCACCGGCACTGGACCCTCCTGCCTCAAACATGCCATGGTCCAGCCCCTTCTCAAAAAGCCTAACCTAGATCCCGAGTTACTCAGCAACTACAGACCCATTTCCAAATTACCCTTTCCATCCAAGACCCTTGAAAAAAGTAATCTTGTCACAACTATTACCTCACTTAGACCAAAACAACATCTTGGACAAATTTCAGGTCAGGTTTCAGGGCAGCTTATGGCACAGAGTCTGCCCTACTGAAGGTCCACCATGACCTGTTCCTCACTGTTGATTCTGCGCAATCCTTATCCTACTGGACATCAGTGTCGCATTAAACACAGAGGTGACCGGGCTTTCTCAGTCATGGCCCCCAGACTGTGGAATAGCCTGTCCATATCCATCAGATCTGCCCCATCCATCGACTTCTTCAAATCCCAGCTCAAATATTTTTATACTCATTAGTGTTCGAGCCAATATAAGTTGTCTCCCTCATTTCTGTCTGCTTCCTTGTTTTTGTCATGCTGTTTTTATTGTCTGTTGATGTCATTTCTCTGTGTTGTTTGTGTTTTCCAGATGTTTTTACAGCACTTTGGTCAGCTGTTTGCTGTTTTTAAATGTGCTTTATGAATAAAATTTGATTTGATTTCATTTGACTGTCAAACCTCTGGCTCCTTTGATTTTCAGGCTCTTTGGAACAGCCAGATAGTGCTCTGCTGTTATATAATCATATACAGTTGGAACTTCATTTCATCAACTAATCATGTTTTGAACATAATGTCTATCTAAAGTATCAGATAACATTAGTAACTCTACTATCAAACAGGTGGAGTGGAATAAAAGTACAATATTTCTTAATCATGGAGTGTAAAGTCATCATCAGGTGGAGATAATCAATACACAGTAGATATTCAGTTGCACTCATTCAGCTACTTTCCACCAGTGGACACTGATCCCTACCTGGTTACTGCAGCAGCCATGTTTCAGCCTGCAGCACCTGTTGATCAGCTCACACCCACTCACACTGACTCTGGTTGCTAAATTAGGATCAAGTTAACAGGTTAAATATTGGGAGCAGCTGAAGTGGTAGTTGTGTAGTCAACCTCAGGTGTAAGAGGGGATCATGTTGATGAATGGGTGATTGGGTGAATGGGATTTTTAAACTAAACATGTAGTGTTTGTTTAAAAGGCAGAGATCAATAACACAGGGAAATCAGTCCTGGCTCATGTTAACGCTTTTAAAGTTGTCTTCACATGCAGGAACTCACCAGTGACATTTCACTGAGGTGTTACATATTTGTGTTACTAATCAGTAATTACAGAAAACGACATTGTTGTGGCACCATGGTTCTTGTACAAAACGACCTGAAGTTAAAGAACAAATGTTTGCAACATCCACAGCTTGTTTCCTCTGTGCACCGTTTGTTGTGTCCTGTAATGTATTGTGATCAATTCTTGTGCAACACCACCACCTGCTGGTTCATTTCAGCAAATGAGGATGATGATCACTTGTAGTGTGTGATTACTGGCTGACTTTAACTTATGTCAGCCAGACTGTCTTTTTATCGAGAACCTCTCAAGCTAATACATTCCATACATCCATATGTATATACACCATGTATGAGATATAAATACTACAGATCCATTAACTTCTTCAGCTGTTGCTCATGAAAACACTTTCTTGCTTAAGTAAAACATTGAATACAGCACTTTCACCTGTAATGGGGTGTTTCACATTCTGGTATTTCTGCTTTTACCAAACTAAAGTACCTGGATGCTTCTTCCACCACCATGTTCTATAAACAAATTGTAGAATTACTGTCTTTGCAGTTAGTACACTGGTAATCAATGTTCTTCACCATTTCATACTAACTTCAAACCTCACAGGTGTTTATCCACAGCTAGCTGGTGTCTCTCCCAGTCCAGTCATACTCACTGTATTTGATTTTGTATTACAGTGTTTATTAAGTGACATTTAGGTCTGAGTTTATTACCAAACCACAAGCTTTGTTTTATTTGGTTCCAAGAGGTGACGTAACAGTTTCACCTGTTAATCATGTTCAGTTTAACCTCTTATCACTCCTGTGAAATTAGCCTAAAACGGCATAACCAAAGTTAATTGGAGTACATGCATGGTTGTGGCCTCTCTTGAAAGGTAACGCTCTGAAGATTTTTCCCCAACCGTTAGAATCACTGTAGTGCCACTGGCAGTGAGTTACAAGAGTTTGAACACATTGAAATAGGTGGTTTTTGTTACCGCCTGAATATTTTTTGTAAATAGATGCCTGCAGATGACTGCACATGTGAGTTATTAGCTGGAAAACACAATGGGACAGCATTCAGCCTTACCTTTTCCAAGTTCAATTTTGATAACAATACCATGTAAGATGAATATTTTACATTTTTGTTTTCTTTTGTTTTTTCAGAAATGGCCACTTGGAGACTCCAAAAAGGACCTTAATACTTCTACTACTACAAATAATAATAATAATTATTACATAAATTGGAAACTATTGGAATCTATGTTACTACACTTTCACAAAACTCAGTTCTTCTTTACCAAATGAACTACATTGAACATGTCAAATAAGATTTTCATTTTGCCTTACTCAGGTCTTTTTTATACAGAAGCCCTAAGGGCAAGTGAGAAAAAAATTCTGGTGATCCATGTTCTAAGTCTGAGCTAAAGTGTTTTCTCTCCTGTGTTTACGACCTAAGAACAGGTGAAAAAATGATTTGCCAGGATAATCTTTCTTAAGTTCCTTATCTTTGTTCTTCCATCTGTGAAAACAGATGACAGGTAAAAATGAGTTGCCTACATAATTGGCTAACACACAATATATAAATGCCTTATGTTTAGAGTACATGGAGAAATTCTGAAATCAATTGAAAGAAAACAATACTTTTAGTCCCATTTAGACTGGTAAGTGGTGCACTTCAGCCTCTTGTGGGTGAAAGGAGTATTACCACACACACACACACACACACACACACACACACACACACACACACACACACAATTCATCTGCCAAACCTTTTTTTTTGGCTGTTCACACAGTGTATGGGTATGAAAACCAGTTTTAAACATTCTGATCTGACAAAGATGTGACTGGGATAAAAATGTTGTCTATTTAAATACATTTGTGTCTCAGTATCAGTGTGCAGCTGTTACTCTTTCCTGACACTGTTTTCCAAAAGCCTTGCATGTACATGTAGTGTGTGTATAATTACACTCCTTATTGTGAGCTGTAACTCTCTCCCCTGTAGGACTACTCAGCCTGTGACTCCGTCAACCTCAGCAATTAGACAGTTGCCAATATGAATTTGGGTATGGCAGTGTACAGCATATTTTATTTCAAAAAGTATTCCAAAAGCATGGGAATAGCATTCTCTGGCAACCCCGGTTGGATATCAAACAAACCCCCACGACGTCCTTCATTCTCCCCAGGTCTCTGCACCCTGTTTTACCTGTCTCAAGCCTGGCCCAGCGCCTGCAGTGATGCTTTCTAGTAAGGCAGTGACAGTGATCACATTAAAGCACAACAGTGGTGTAACCAAACATTGTTATTTTATTATCTTAAAAAGTAACACAATCCCCATTGGGTATCACATACACTACAACAACGGTAACACCAGTACTACACATCAAA